AGGGGGAGGGGAACCATCTCCCCCTCAGCTCACAGAATGGGATTTTCCTTACATGGCTTTGCCTGTTTCCTGCTCAGATTCCAGACATCGATCCCAACGCGAAGCTGCTGCAGCCTCCTGCTCCTGTCATGCCTTTGGACACCAACTGGCCACTGCTGACTGTCTCCAAGGGCTTCTTTGAGGGAACAATCGCCAGCAAAGGTATGGCCTTGTCCCTGGAAAGCTTGGAAAGCTCAAGGGGGGGACCTTCTGGCTCTCTGCAACTCCCTGACAGGTGGGGGAGTCCCCACCCCTGGAGGTGTCCAGGGAAGGCCTGGCTGTGGCACTGAGTGCTCTGGGCTGGGGTGGGGGACAAGGTGGGGATGGATCCAGGACTGGATGATCCTGGATGATCTTTTCCCACCCAGATGATTCTGGGATTGTGTGAAACCTTTGACCTTTAAGCACAAGATGGGAGGGCAGGGAATTCCTCCTGGAATTCCTGTCTTAGCACTTGAGGGATGAGTTCATGGAGGCTCCTGCCCTTTTTTTTTTTAGGCAAAGGAGGTGCTTTGGCTGCTGACATCGACATCGACACCGTGGGCACCGAGGGCTGGGGAGAAGATGCAGAGCTGCAGCTGGATGAAGGTGGGTGGATCCAAGAGCTTTCCTTGGAAAAGTGTGGGCCTGTGTCAGGGCTCTGACGTTTCCCCCCCTCCTTCCAGATGGTTTTGTGGATGCTGGAGAGGGCTTTGGAGAGGAAGGCCTGGGGAAAGGACAGGAAGAAGGAGGTGGATGGGAAGTGGAAGAAGATTTGGATCTTCCCCCTGAACTGGTAGGAAGCTCCTTGGTAGTTCCTTGGGAAGGCACTGACAGCTGGTGAGGGAGGTGGGGGAAGTGTGTTCTGGGCTTTCTTCAGGCTTGGTCCCCCACGGCTCTGATTTCATCTGGGTGCTGGAAACACCCCCACTAATCCCTGCTCTGTGTGTTCCCCCAGGATGTTCCTGCTGGCCCAGCAGGAGCAGCAGAGGATGGATTCTTTGTGCCTCCCACCAAGGGCACCAGCCCAGCTCAGGTAATGCCAAATCAGGGCTTGGATTGTGAGAACTTTGAGGGGTGGTGAGGGCAGGACCCAATTCCTCTTCCATGTGTTTCCCTTCCCTTCTTGTAGGTGTGGTGCAACAATTCCCAGCTTCCTGTTGACCACATCCTGGCGGGCTCCTTTGAGACAGCAATGAGAGTAAGTTTCCCCATGGATTTTCCAGGGATAAACTGTGCCCTTTCTCCTTGAGTTTCTCTCCCTCATCCACCTGAAGCTTCATTTTTATGCCCCTTTTCGGGCATCGTTTTGCGCCTCGTTTTGCCTGGGTGTGAAACCAAGCTGTGGGTGAAGCCTCAGTGGTGCCTGTGCCAGCTTTCCCTCAGCCAGATCCACTTGTCCCTTCCAGCTCCTCCACGACCAGGTGGGAGTGACCAGCTTTGGGCCCTACAAGCAGCTCTTCCTTCAAACCTTTGCCCGGGGCCGCACGACCTACCAGGCCCTGCCGAGCCTGCCAGCCATGTATGGATTCCCACACCGCAACTGGTGAGCACTGGGCAGCTCCTCTGGGCCCCCCTCCCCTTGTGCCAGGGACCTGCCAGCTGCTGGACACTTGGGAGCCACAGGTTGGTTTTTTTTCCAGTAGAGCTTGGAAGGTGCTGTTGAAAAATCACAGGGTTGGTGAGGTTGGAAAAGATTTCTGAGTTCATCCAGTGCCCCATTCCTGCCTTGTCACCAACCCAGAGCACTCAGTGCCACGTCCTTGGGCACCTTCCCCACCTCCCTGGGCAGCCCCTGTCAAGGCCTCACCACCCTTTCCAGGAGGAAATTCCTCCTGATGTCCAACCTGACCCTCCCCTGGCACAGCTGGAGGTTGTTCCCTCTCCTCCTGTCCCTTGTTCCCTGGGAGCAGAGCCCCCCACCTCCAACCTCCTTCCAGGGAATTCCAGAGCCAGAAGGTCCCCCCTGAGCCTCTTTTTCTCCAGGCTGAGCCCCCCCAGCTCCCTCAGGAGTGTCTCCAGCCCCTTCTCCTGCTGTTCCAGCCCCATTCCCTTCTCTGGCCACGCTCCAGTCCCTTCATGTCTGTCCTGCCATGATGGGCCCAGCCCTGGACACAGCACCCAAGGTGGGGCCTCACCAGGGCAAACTGGTGACCTGGTTTTCATCTCTTTATCTTTGCCTCCATAACTCTGCCACACACAATTCCCAACTTTCTCCACGTTAGTGCAGCCTGGGAACTCTGGCACTTCATGCCTGGAGGTGTCCAGGGAAGGCCTGGCCGTGGCACTGAGCGCTCTGGGCTGGGGGACAAGGCGGGGATGGGGCACAGGGTGTGGACTGGATGGGCTGGGAGGGCTTTTCCAACCTCATGGTGATCCCGTGAAAACCGGGACAAACCTCCAGTCAGTGTGTCCCTGCTTGGCCCCCACCCTGACCCCGCTGTGTCCCCCAACCTCTGTGTGGTGTCCCCAGGAAAGAAGCCGGTCTGAAAAACGCCCTCCCCGCTGTGGGGCTGAAGCTCAATGACCTGATCCAGCGGCTGCAGCTCTGCTACCAACTCACCACCGCCGGCAAGTTCGAGGAGGCCGTGGAGAAGTTCCGCTCCATCCTGCTCAGCGTCCCCTTGCTGGTGGTGGACAACAAGCAGGAGATTGCTGAGGTGAGGGACAGACCCCTCGTCCCCTCTGTGTGTCCACGGGGCAGGAGGCCACTCCTGACTCTGTCCCTCTCCCTCAGGCCCAGCAGCTCATTGCCATTTGCCGGGAATACATCGTGGGGCTCTCCATGGAGATCGAGCGGAAGAAGCTGCCCAAGGACACCCTGGAGCAGCAGAAGAGGATTTGTGAGGTACAGGATTCCTTCCCTGGCGTGGCTGTGCCCTCACAGGGGTTTAAAAAAAGGGATTCTGCCCTTTCCACCTTGAAATCAGGGGTTATGTGTGTGTGAGGGGGGAACGGGTTCCTTGCAGCACTTCCAGCCATCCCCACTCCTGGCAGTGGTTCTATCCCTACTTTCCCTCCTTCCCCAGCAGGGACGGGTTCCTTGCAGCACTTCCAGCCATCCCCACTCCTGGCAGTGGTTTGTAGCCCTGTTTTCCCTTCTCCCTCCTGCAGATGGCTGCCTACTTCACCCACTCCAACCTGCAGCCCGTGCACATGATCCTGGTGCTCCGAACCGCCCTCAACCTCTTCTTCAAACTCAAGAACTTCAAGACCGCGGCGACTTTCGCCCGGCGGCTGCTGGAGCTGGGCCCGAAGCCCGAGGTGGCCCAGCAGGTAGGTCTGGGAGGTGCTCAGGTGGAAACATCCCCGGTGGGACAGACAGATCTTGCTTTTGGGGTCTCCTCGTGCCACCCCGGTCGACGCGGTCGCTTGTTTTTTTTTTTGCAGACGCGCAAGATCCTGTCGGCGTGTGAGAAGAACCCCACGGACACCTACCAGCTCAACTATGACATGCACAACCCCTTTGACATCTGTGCTGCCTCCTACAGACCCATCTACCGCGGGAAACCCGTGGAGAAGTGTCCTCTCAGCGGGGCCTGCTACTGCCCCGAGTTCCGTGGGCAGATCTGCCGCGTCACCACGGTGAGGGCGTCTCCATCCCGGGGTGTTTCCCTTGGGAATTCCCTTCCACAGCTCCCCCCCCGCTCCTTTGTCCTCCTGAACTGACTTGGTGGTGGTGTGTCATGTGAGGGAGAAGAGTTTGGGGGCTGTGAAGTTGAAACGCTGCCTGAATTCGGGGATGACCTCATGGTGAGGGGCTGTGTGGGTTCAGAGGTGATTTGGGGTCTGGAGCATCTCCCTGATGGGGAGAGACTGTGGGAGCTGGGCCTGGTTAGTCTGGAGAAGACTGAGAGGGGATCTCATCAATCCGTACAAACATCTCAAATATCCCTACAAACTCCTCATCTGAGATGGGGTCTCATCCATCCATACAAACATCCCCAAGGGGTGTCAGGATGGTCCCAGGCTCTTCCCAGTGGTGCCCAGGATGAGGAGTGATGGCCCTAAACTAAACCACAAGCAGTTCCACATGGAACAGCTGCCCAGGGAGGGTGTGGAGTCTCCTCTCTGGAGACATTCCAACCCCACCTGGACGTGTCCCCGTGTCACCTGCTCTGGGTGACCCTGCCTTGCACTGGGTCATCTCCAGAGGTCTCTTCCAACCCCAGCTGGGATTCTGTTCTCCAGAGCAGTTGATGCTCCAAGGGCTGCACCCAGGGTTGGGATTTTGAGTTGCTTTTGACCATGAATCATCTCCTTTTGTCCCTCAGGTGACGGAGATCGGCAAGGACGTCATCGGGCTGCGCATCAGCCCTCTGCAGTTCCGCTAGGAATTCCTGTCCTGGGGGGGAAATGTGAGGGCAAATTCCACTCCCCCATCCCGACTTGTAGCCTCATCTCTTCCCCATAGCCTTGCCTGTGCTGTCCCACTTGATGTCCCCACCCAGGAATGCTGTAGTGAGACTCTGCTTCCAAGTAGGAGTTTTCCCTTGTTTCCAGACTGGCTGGTGTGAAGTTTTCCTGGACCGTTGTCCTATGGCAAATCTTTTCCAGAGGGGAAAGGGCAGCTCTGCCGAGTCCTGGTTACCACAGAGCACTTTAGAAACTGCTGCAGAGGCAGCAATTGCCTCTGACACCCTTTAGGTCCTGAAAGAATTTCTTGGAAGAGCCAGGAATGGCTCTGGGAATGTGGCACTGTCGGGAACCGGGGCAGTGCAAAGCCCCTCCCAACTCCAGGGCAGTTCTCCCCTTGGAAATGGCACTGGCTCAAGATTTGTGGTCATGGTGACTCTTTGTTTTGTTGTCCTGGTAACATTTCTCAAACTAATCAGCTTCACACATGAATAAAGTAATTCAACCACCCCGATCTTCCAGTTTTGTAGCTCAATTGGTTTTACCGAGGCACAGGAGGTGCCACTGAATTTCCAACCTCGGGGATTTCTGGGATCCTGCCCCTCTGGGGCTGCCTTCCTGCTGCTGAAACAAAACCTTAACGCTGGGATATTAAACCTTTTATTTTGTACATAAAAAAGGAAGGAAGGAAAGAAGGGGATGTGCCCATCTTGGTGCTTCCAGTTGCGCAGGGGAATGTTCACAGTGGTGGGGGAGATGTGTCCCCCCTACGGGCCGGGGGCCTTCACCACCAGGCTGTTGTGACAGGCCACGGCAATGCCCCCGATGAGGTTGAGGAACTCCTGGAAGTCCAGCTGCCCGTCGCTGTTGAGGTCCAGCTTCTTCATCATCCTGTCCACCACCCCTGGATCCTTCTGGTTCTGCATGAGAGAGCTGGGCATGGGCACCTCCACCACGAGGCTGGACCCTCCCCTCCCCACCCACGAGCTCGTGGAATCACGGGATGGGCTGGCCTGGAAGGGACCTCAAAGACCAGCGTGGCAGGGACACCTTCCACTAGACCAGGTAGCTCCAAACCTGGGACACTTCCAGGGGGGGTGGGTGTCGCTCACCTTGGTGAAGGCGGCCAGCTCGGTGTTCATGAAGGCCAGGAATTCCCTCTTGGAAAGGGTGCAGTTGTCCCCCTCCCGGCCGGCGTAGCGCTGGAACACGGCCAGCAGGGACTCGATGCAGCGCTCCGTCTCCGTGGGCTGCGGGCAACGAGGGGGAAGGGGGTTGGGAGCCCCGGGTGTCACCCCTGGATCCATCCAGGGCTCTGGGACCTCCCCCTGCCCAACCTGTCCAGCCGCACTTTTCCCTGCTATTCATTTCTTCCCTGCCCTGGCACGGGAAGGGACCCAGAGAACTGGGGAGGGGTTGGTGGAAAATCCCCCGGGGAGGGAGGTGAAGTGTCAGCTCCCAGCGGAGGAGTGGCCTTGGACTGGGAAGAGCTTGTGGTGCAACCAGGCTTGGCCGAGGTTGGTCCCGTTCTCCCCCCCCCGCCCCTTTTCCCTCCCCTGGCCCCGCCTGGGCTCGGGAGAAACTGAGTCAGGAGAGAAAAATCCCAGTTGCCTCCTCGATCTCCTTCCTCCCTCTGGGCAGGGATGGAGCAGGGCCTGGCCTGGGACTCCTCCCGTGGGGATGAGTGAGGAGAGAGGGGGGGAACGTGGGGCTTTTTCCCATTCCAGAGGCTCCAGTTTGTGGGGAAGGGCAGTGCAGGGAGAGCCGGGGGAATCCTGCCCTTCCCATCCCAACCTCGGCTCCTGGGGCCTCCCTGCCACATCCTGCCCTTCCTGAGCCTCAATTTTCAGTTAAATTGAGAGGTGTAACTTCCTTCCACACTCTTGGTTCCTCTTCCCCCTTCCCAGTGCTGTGGGTGGGGGCAGAGCCCTGAGCCTCGTCATGGGCATGGAAAGAGTGGGAAAAGGTAGGAAAGGGAGGGGAGACACCACCAATGCCACTCCTTAGCCCCCCAACCAAGCTTCAGGGACCCTCTGCCCTCTGCCTCTGCCCACTTTTCCCATGTCCAGGCCCCTTTCCCAGCGGGATTTGGAGCCTCAGCTCAACCTTGGCACCGCCCGCTCTCTCCGGAGCCAAGCCCGTCTTGCTTCAGCTCGGGGGCTTTTTGCAGGAAAGCTCCTCTTGCCGCCCCACTCCCACCCCTGTGGAACCACCTCCCTGTCCCCACACCCTCAGGGACCCTCTGCCCTCTGTCTCTGCCCCCCCTTCCCAGCAGAGCCTCAGCTCAGCCTTGGCACCGTCCCCTCTCCCCGGAGCCAAACGCGTCTCGCTCCGGCTCTGGGGCCTCTTGCAGGAAAAGCTGCTCTGCTGTCCCGTTTTCCCACCCCTCATAGGGAACCCCCCTCTCCATCCCCATCCCGGGGGTCCCGGCTCGCTCACCATGGCTGGGCTGCGAGGAGGCTCCGGCGCGGGCACGGCTGGGTTGGATGTGGCAGATCCGCAGCCGGATTTGGAGCCCTTGGGAGTCTCCAGGCGCGGCCACCGCCCTTCCCAGCCCAGCTCAGCCCCGGCTTTGTTGGGCAATCCCGGCTCTAACGGCAGATCTGGGCCTGCCCACGCTCCCGCCTTCGCCTCAGGAATGTGCTGGGCCCCTCCTTAGGCTCTCCCGAGTTTTACTCTTCACAGTTATTCACACTCGTGTTTTCTCCTCCTTATATCCATTTTCGTCCCCCCTCTCCGGGCCTTGGGAACATCCCTGTCGTCTCCCACCCTTTAGTCCTCGGGGCTGAGCTCCCCCCTGGGAATCCCAGGGAAATCTGTTCCCCCCCAAAGCTTCAAGGGGAGCCAGGATGTGTTCTGGGATCTGGGACAGCTCTTTGGGAATTCCTGCAGAAGTTCTGCTGGGACAGCCTAGAGCAGCACAAAGGGAAGCAGCAAGGCACTGTCCCCAAGGCATTTTCCTTCCTTGCCCCGTTTTTCTGCCCCTAAATCTTTTTTTTTTCCTCCCCATATATAGGGGAAAAAAAGCACCACCACCTCCCCCAACCCAGACTGAACTTGCCCAACCTGGCAGCTCCCTGGACTTTGCACTTTTCACCCACATTTTACAACACCCCCCCCGCCCCTCAACAAAAAACCTGAGCAGGGAAGTGGCATTTCCACCTCTGCAAGAGCAGATCCCGGAGGGAGCCGTGGCTGCACCGGGGGTGGTGGTGAGGGGATTTGGGGCTGTTCCCAGCAGTTGCCAGGGGGGAGGTTTTGCAGTCCAGGCTTTGGCCCCGGTTGCAGACACACCATCTGTGCCACCATATGTTTGTCACCCCGACGTGTGACCGTCACGTGGGCGGGAGGGGACATCGCCGTGAGCTCCAAGGCTGGGGAAGGGACCCTCGGGAATTCCTCTGGCACCGGCTTGGAGGAGGGCGTGGGCTCGTGGAGGGTTTGGTGGGATTTCCAGCAACCCCTGCCTGCCACGAGGCACACGGGATTGGAAGGAAGGCATGATGGGAACCGGGAAGGTGTAATCCCACCCTGGGAAATGCGTGGCCCTCCCCGCCCTCCCAGATCCTTGGAAAGCAGCGGAAGGAGGAAGGCTGGCACCTCTCAGTGCAGTCATCAGCTGTTTATTCTGATTTTTCATGCAATACATCAATGTGAAGAAGAAGAAAGAAAGAAGAAGAACCCCCCCACCCACCACCACCCTGTGGTGACCTCAACATCACTCGGCTGCCACAAACCCTCCCTGAGGCAGGATCTGGGATTCTGCTCAGCTGGATTTGCTGTAATAGTCCCCAGAAGTGGGATTTTTCCCAGCTTGGAGGACTTTCAGGCCCCAAAATGAGGATGGCTCGAGCTCCTGGGATTTTTTTTTTTGGTGTTGCAGAGCAGGGGCTGATGAGAACCAGCCATGGGGAAACATTAGCACAGGGAGATGCAGAGTGGTCCCACCCCAGGGTAGAAGAGAAGACAGAGACAGAGAGACCCAAGGACTCCAATTAGAGCAGAAAAAGTGACTAAATACTGCATTTTGGTGGAGAAGCATCACGCAGGGAAGCGGATCTGGAGGTAACTTGAGGATTTGTTACATGGAAAACCCCCAAACCCACCTGACACCCTCTCAAGGCACCTCCCGAACCCTTTTGAGCCGATCACTTCTGCGCCACCACATCCTGAACTGAAACAGGGCCGAAATGATCCTCAAAAGGACTTGGAGGAGCCCCTCCAGCTTCCCCCTTAAGACGCTTTGGCTTCATCCCCGCGGGACGACTCGGTTCCTCCTGGGAGATCAGGAGGCCGGGGCTTCCCTGGCTCTGCTTGGTGCCAGGACGCGGCTCCTCCTCCCGTGGAAGTTGGGAATCCCCAGCTTGCCGGGGCTTCTTGCAGGTCTCCTCCTGGCAGCTCTTTTCAGGTGGGAGAAGCTCGACGTCCTGGCGGACGCGGCCGGTCTCTTCTCTCCGGGGCGCACGGGCACGGCTCTCGTCGGCGTCTCGCCGGTCTGACTCACGAGCTTCCCGTGGCTCTGGAGCCTGGAGCAGAGGTGGACAACTCTTGGTCTTCCTGTCCTCACGCTCCCTCACCTGGCAGCTGGATCCGGGCTCCCGTGGGACCTTCTCCCTGGCAGCTTTCGATCCATCTCCCTGGGGCTGATTCTTTTCCGTGTTGGGGACCTCCTTGGTCTTCGCCCTGCGAGGGTCACCTTTCACAGCATCTCGCTCGCAGGCCTGGTGGGCTCCTTCCTTCACCCCTGCCCCAGCTCTCTCCCCACCGAGATCCCTGGTGTTTTCCTGGCAGCTGGAAGGTGGCAGTTCAGGCTCCCCACTTTCTCTCTCGTCCCCCCGGGTTGGCGGCTCCGGGCGGTCACTCCGGTCGCAGGGGACGGTCGGTGGCTTGGCAGACACGTAGCACTTCCTGACGCAGAGGGGCTGGCCTGGGTTGTCAGGCTGGTGACAGACAATCTCGTAGGTGGCGGCGCTGGCGTCACTCCCGTTCTGGAGCACGTGCACCAGGTAGGCGATGGTCTGGGGCTCGCAGGGCTGGGGGACCACCCGCACCTCCGGCCGCTCCGCGGGGTCAGCCGGGATGTAGCGGACCCTCAGGTCACTCACAGGACCTTCCTCTCCTGGGGGGCAGAGGTCCCTGTTGTCCACCTCTATGGTTTGGTAGAGGCTTCGTCCTTCATCCACCTCCTCCTCTTCTTCGAGGACCTCGAGTATGGTCTCCTCGCGGGTCTCTCTCCGGTTGATGCTCACCCCTCTCTCCTCTCTGTCCCGTGTCTGTCGGCTGCGACGTTCAAAGACCTCCAGCTCCCTTTGGCGATCGATTCTCCTCTCCAGCACAGGCTCTTCCCTCTCTCTTCCCCGGAGAATCCTCCTCTCTTCCTCTTCACCTTCACAGGGACGTTCCCTCCTTCTGAGCTCCTCACGAGGCTCCAGTTCACGGATCTCTCTGTGGATTTTCACATCAGCTTCTGCTTCTACTTCTGCTTCTCTGCTCTCCCGTGTCCTTTCATATCTCACTGACTCACGTTCTCTCCTTCCATCACCTTCCAGCTCCCGTGTCTCTCTCTGGTCAGTGATGACCCCTCTCTCCTCTCTGTCCCGTGTCTGGCGGCTGCGACGCTCAGAGACCTCCACCTCCAGCTCTCGTTGTTGATCGACCCTCCTCTCCAGAACAGGCTCTTCCCTCTCTCTTCCCCGGAGAGTCCTCCTCTCTTCCTCCTCACGCTCACGGGGAAGTTCCCTCCTTCTGAGCTCCTCCCTTGGTTCCAGTTCACGGATCTCTCTGTGGACCCTCTCAGTTCCAGTTCACGACTCTCTGTGGACCTTCACATCAGCTTCTGCTACTTCGTACCCTGGTCTCTCGTGTCCTTTCGTACCTCACTGACTCACGTTCTCTCCTTCCATCACCTTCCAGCTCCCGTGTCTCTCTCCGGTCGATGATGACCCCTCTCTCCTCCCTGTCCCGTGTCTGGCGGCTGCGGCACTCAGAGACATCCAGCTCCAGGTCCCTTTGGCGATCAATCCTCCTCTCCAGAATGGGCTCTTCCCTCTCTCTTCCCCGGAGAATCCTCCTCTCTTCCTCTCTCACGCTCACAGGGACGTTCCCTCCTTCTGAGCTCCTCACGAGGCTCCAGTTCACGGATCTCTCTGTGGATTTTCACATCAGCTTCTGCTGCTGCTACTCTGCTCTCCTGTGTCCTTTCGTACCTCACTGACTCACGTTCTCTCCTTCCATCACCGTCCAGCTCCCGTGTCTCTCTCTGGTCAGTGATGACCCCTCTCTCCTCCCTGTCCCGTGTCTGGCGGCTGCGGCGCTCAGAGACCTCCAGCTCCCTTTGGCGATCAATTCTCCTCTCCAGAACGGGCTCTTCCCTCTCTCTTCCCTGGAGAATCCTCCTCTCTTCCTCCTCACGCTCACGGGGACGTTCCCTCCTTCTGAGTTCCTCCCTTGGTTCCAATTCACGGATCTCTCTGTGGATTTTCACATCAGCTTCTGCTTCTGCTTCTCTGCTCTGCCGTGTCCTTTTGTATCTCACTGACTCACGTTCTCTCCTTCCATCACCGTCCAACTCCCTTCTCTCTCTCTGGTCGATGATGATCCCTCTCTCCTCCCTGTCCCGGGTCTGGCGGCTGCGGCGCTCAGAGACCTCCACCTCCAGCTCTCGTTGTTGATCGATCCTCCTCTCCAGAACAGGCTCTTCCCTCTCTCTTCCCCGGAGAATCCTCCTCTCTTCCTCTTCACGCTCACGGGGACGTTCCCTCCGCCTGAGTTCCTCACGGGGTTCCAGTTCACGGATCTCTCTGTGGATTTTCACGTCGGCTTCTGCTGCTGCCACCCTGGATTCTCTTGTCCTTTCATACCTCACTGACTCACGTTCTCTCCTTCCATCACCTTCCAGCTCCCGTGTCTCTCTCCGGTCGATGATGACCCCTCTCTCCTCCCTGTCCCGTGTCTCGCGGCTGCGGCGCTCAGAGACCTCCAGCTCCCTTTGGCGATCGACCCTCCTCTCCAGAACAGGTTCTTCCCTCTCTCTTCCCCGGAGAATCCTCCTCTCTTCCTCCTCACGCTCACAGGGACGGTCCCTCCTTCTGAGCTCCTCCCGGGGCTCCACTTCACGGATCTCTCTGTGGATTTTCACATCAGCTTCTGCTGCTGCTACCCTGGTCTCTCGTGTCCTTTCGTACCTCACCGACTCACGTTCTCTCCTTCCATCATCGTCCAGCTCTTGTGTCTCTCTCCGGTCGATGATGACCCCTCTCTCCTCCCTGTCCCGTGTCTGGTGGCTGCGGCGCTCAGAGACCTCCAGCTCCAGGTCCCTTTGGCGATCGACCCTCCTCTCCAGAATGGGCTCTTCCCTCTCTCTTCCCCGGAGAATCCTCCTCTCTTCCTCCTCACGCTCACAGGGACGTTCCCTCCTTCTGAGCTCCTCGCGGGGTTCCAGTTCACGGATCTCTCTGTGGATTTTCACATCAGCTTCTGCTTCTGCTGCTGCTACCCTGGTCTCTCGTGTCCTTTCGTACCTCACTGACTCACGTTCTCTCCTTCCATCACCTTCCAGCTCCCGTGTCTCTCTCCGGTCGATGGTGACCCCTCTCTCCTCCCTGTCCCGTGTCTGGCGGCTGCGGCGCTCAGAGACCTCCAGCTCCAGGTCCCTTTGGCGATCGACTCTCCTCTCCAGAACAGGCTCCTCTCTGTCTCCTCTCCTGCAAATCCTCCTCTCTTCACATTCACGGGGACGTTCCATCCTTTCCAACTCTTCACGAGGCTCCACTTCACGGATCTCTCTGTGGAGCTTCACATCAGCTTCTGCTGATGCTTCTCTGCTCTCCCGTGTCCTTTCATATCTCACTGACTCACGTTCTCTCCTTCCATCACCTTCCAGCTCTCTTCTCTCTCTCTGGTCAGTGATAACCCCTCTCTCCTCTCTGTCCCGTGTCTGGCGGCTGCGGCGCTCAGAGACCTCCAGCTCCCGTTGGCGATCAATTCTCCTCTCAAGCACAGGCTCTTCCCTCCCTCTTCCACGGAGAATCCTCCTCTCTTCCTCCTCACGCTCACAGGGACGTTCCCTCCGCCTGAGTTCCTCACGGGGTTCCAGTTCACGGATCTCTCTGTGGAGCTTCACATCAGCTTCTGCTTCTACTTCTGCTACTCTGCTCTCCCGTGTCCTTTCGTATCTCACTGACTCACGTTCTCTCCTTCCATCACCGTCCAGCTCCCGTGTCTCTCTCCGGTCGATGGTGACCCCTCTCTCCTCCCTGTCCCGCGTCTCGAGGCTGCGACGCTCAGAGACTTCCAACTCCAGGTCCCTTTGGTGATCGACCCTCCTCTCCAGAACAGGCTCCTCTCTGTCTCTTCTCCTGCAGAACTCCTCTCTCTCCTCACATTCACAGGGACGTTCCCTCCGTTCCGAACTCTTCACGGGGCTCCAGTTCACGGATCTCTCTGTGGATTTTCACATTGGCTTCTGCTTCTGCTTCTCTGCTCTGCCGTGTCCTTTCATACCTCACTGACTCACGTTCTCTCCTTCCATCACCGTCCAGCTCCCGTCTCTCTCTCTCGTCTATGATGACCCCTCTCTCCTCTCTGTCCCGTGTCTGGCGGCTGCGGCGCTCAGAGACCTCCAGCTCCCGTTGGCGATCAATCCTCCTCTCCAGAACGGGCTCTTCCCTCTCTCTTCCCCGGAGAGTCCTCCTCTCTTCCTCCTCACGCTCACGGGGACGTTCCCTCCTTCTGAGCTCCTCCCTTGACTCCAGTTCACGGATCTCTCTGTGGATTTTCACATCAGCTTCTGCTTCTGCTTCTGTTTCTCTGCTCTGCTGTGTCCTTTCATACCTCACTGACTCACGTTCTCTCCTTCCATCACCGTCCAGCTCCCGTGTCTCTCTCCGGTCGATGATGACCCCTCTCTCCTCTCTGTCCCGTGTCTGGCGGCTGCGGCGCTCAGAGACATCCAGCTCCAGTTCCCGCTTGTGATCAATCCTCCTCTCCAGAACGGGTTCCCCTCTGTCTCTTCTCCTGCAAATCCTCCTCTCTTCCTCTTCACCTTCACGGGGACGTTCCCTCCTTTCCAACTCTTCATGAGGCTCCAGTTCACGGATCTCTCTGTGGATCTTCACATCAGCTTCTGCTGCTGCTACCCTGGACTCTCTTGTCCTTTCATATCTCACTGACTCACGTTCTCTCCTTCCATCACCGTCCAGCTCCCTTCTCTCTCTCTGGTCAGTGATGACCCCTCTCTCCTCCTGTCCCGTCTGCCTGCCTTGCCTCTCCTCCTCTCTCTCTCTGGTCAGTGATGACCCCTCTCTCCTCCCTGTCCCGGATCTGGCGTCTGCCGTGCTCAGAGGCCTCCAGCTCCCTTTGGCGATCGATTCTCCTCTCCAGAACAGGTTCTTCCCTTTCTCTTCCCCGGAGAATCCTCCTCTCTTCCTCCTCACGCTCACGGGGACGTTCCCTCCGCCTGAGCTCCTCCCTTGGTTCCACTTCACGGATCTCTCTGTGAATTTTCACGTCAGCTTCTGCTTCTGCTTCTCTGCTCTGCCGTGTCCTTTCATACCTCACTGACTCACGTTCTCTCCTTCCATCACCTTCCAGCTCCCGTGTCTCTCTCTGGTCAATGATGACCCCTCTCTCCTCCCTGTCCCGTGTCTCGAGGCTGCGACGCTCAGAGACTTCCAACTCCAGGTCCCTTTGGTGATCGACCCTCCTCTCCAGAACAGGCTCCTCTCTGTCTCCTCTCCTGCAAACCCTCCTCTCTTCACATTCACGGGGACGTTCCCTCCTTTCCAACTCTTCACTAGGCTCCAGTTCACGGATCTCTCTGTGGATTTTCACATTGGCTTCTGCTTCTGCTTCTCTGCTCTGCCGTGTCCTTTCATATCTCACTGACTCACGTTCTCTCCTTCCATCACCGTCCAGCTCTCTTCTCCCTCTCTGGTCGATGATGACCCCTCTCTCCTCCCTGTCCCGGGTCTGGCGGCTGCGGCGCTCAGAGACCTCCAGCTCCAGGTCCCTTTGGCGATCGATCCTCCTCTCCAGAACAGGCTCTTCCCTCTCTCTTCCCCGGAGAGTCCTCCTCTCTTCCTCCTCACGCTCACGGGGACGTTCCCTCCTTCTGAGCTCCTCCCTTGGTTCCAGTTCACGGATCTCTCTGTGGACCTTCACATCAGCTTCTGCTTCTACTTCTGCTACCCTGGTCTCTCGTGTCCTTTCGTACCTCACTGACTCACGTTCTCTCCTTCCATCACCTTCCAGCTCCCGTGTCTCTCTCCGGTCGATGATGACCCCGCTCTCCTCCCTGTCCCGTGTCTGGCGGCTGCGGCGCTCAGAGACCTCCAGCTGCCGTTGGTGATCAATTCTCCTCTCCAGCACAGGCTCTTCCCTCTCTCTTCCACGGAGAATCCTCCTCTCTTCCTCCTCACGCTCACAGGGACGTTCCCTCCTTCTGAGCTCCTCCCGGGGCTCCAGTTCACGGATCTCTCTGTGGAGCTTCACATCGGCTTCTGCTGCTGCTACTCTGCTCTCCCGTGTCCTTTCGTATCTCACTGACTCACGTTCTCTCCTTCCATCACCTTCCAGCTCCCGTGTCTCTCTCTGGTCGATGGTGACCCCTCTCTCCTCCCTGTCCCGTGTCTGGCGGCTGCGGCGCTCAGAGACCTCCAGCTCCAGGTCCCTTTGGTGATCGACCCTCCTCTCCAGCACAGGCTCTTCCCTCTCTCTTCCACGGAGAATCCTCCTCTCTTCCTCCTCACGCTCACAGGGACGTTCCCTCCGCCTGAGTTCCTCACGGGGTTCCAGTTCACGGATCTCTCTGTGGATTTTCACATCGGCTTCTGCTGCTGCCACCCTGGATTCTCTTGTCCTTTCATACCTCACTGACTCACGTTCTCTCCTTCCATCACCTTCCAGCTCCCGTGTCTCTCTCCGGTCGATGATGACCCCTCTCTCCTCCCTGTCCCGTGTCTGGCGGCTGCGGCGCTCAGAGACCTCCAGCTCCAGCTCCCCTTGGCGATCGACCCTCCTCTCCCTCAGTCTTCTTCTTCTTCTTGGATCATCTTGTTCTTCCCACTCCTGTTCCTCACGGATCTCTCTTTCCCTCTCTGCGTATTCCGCCTCTCGTTCCTGGTTTGTTCTTTGTTCACGGACACGTTCCTCTGGCTCAGCCCTATCACAGCTCCTGAGGTCAAGCTCTAGCGGTTCCTCGATGTATGACTGATGTGGGTGTCTTGAGTCCAGGCGCTCCCCACGTTCCCGGTGGCTGCTCCGTTCCAGTGCCCTTTGTTCCAGCTCCTGTTGGTGGTAGCGGCTTCTCTCTTCTCTGAGCAATCCAGATCTGCGTGGCTGGTTGTCACTTCCTCCATCTGCTCCCCGTGGCCTCTGGTTTCTTTCATCACAGGCTGGTCCTTCTGGCTCCTGTGGCCCACGGCCACTCCACCGGTCGGGCCGCGGTCGGGCTTCAGAGCTCCGGCTGCGAATCCGCACGTCTGCCACTTCTTCCCGCCGAGACCCCTCCCGCTCTTCCCTCTCTCGCGCCAGAATTCCGAGCTCACCTTCCTGGGCTCTGCCACCCCTGAGCTGCTGATCCCTCCTTATTTCCTCGGGTATTTCAAGCTCGCTGACCCTGGGGTCTCGTTGCAGCTCTGGCTCGCAGGGACGGTTCCTGTCACCGGTCTGCTCCTCCTCCTGGAGCTGCCGGCGGCTCCCTCTGGTCCTAATTTCGGGCTCTCGGAGTGTCTTGCTGCCGGCTGTGAGCTTTGTTCTCTGCACCAGGTACGGTGCCCTGGGCAGGTAGCAGTAGCAGCACTTGGCCACCCTGAACACCAAGAGGAGGAACTCGTTAAAGTCGATGTCCCCGTCGCCATCCCACTCCAGGAACTGCAGGATCTTCTCGAGCGTCTGAGGGTCGTGCGGCCTCTGCAGGGAAAACACAGGGAAATGGCCAAGGGATATGGCAGAGAAATGCAAAACTGGAGCAGTCACAACCTTTTCTCCTTCCACCCCTCACACCTTCACGTTTAGAGCTCAGCAACAGGTTGGAAAAGACCCCCAAGGTCATCCGGTCCACCCTGTGCCCCATCCCCACCTTGTCACTCAGTGCCACAGCCAGGCCTTCCTTAGACACCTCCAGGGGTTGGGACTCCCCCACCTTGCTGGGCAGCCCCTGCCAAGGTCTCACTACCCTTTTCAGCAACAAATTCCTCCTCATGGCCAGCCTGCCCCTCTCCTGGCACAGCTCCAGGCCTTTCCCTCTCCTCCTGTGTCATTACCTGGGAGAAGATCCTGACACTCACCTGGTTTCCCCCTCCTGTCAGGGAGTTGCAAAGAGCCAGAAGGTCCCCCCTGAGCCTCCTTTTCTCCAGGATGAGCCCCCACAGCTCCCTCAGGATTTCTTCAGCCCCTTCACCCACTGCAAAGGAACCCAACCACAGCTCCCCTTTGGCTGAATCCTCCCCACCCCTCTTCCACAACAACCATCCCCTCTCCAGAAGGAGATTTCGCACTCAAACCCTCTCTTTGCAGCAACACTCACAACGAGGGCATCTGCAAACTCCCTCTGGATGAATTCCTTCATCCTGCTCCTGCTGAGGGTGGAGGAGTCCCCATCGTCCCGGGCCTGTTTGTGGAAGACGCTGATGATGGTGGAAATGCTGTCTAAGAAGCGGGACATCTTCCTGCAGATTCGAGCAAGCCTGGAAGGAAAGGAGCAGACCAAAAGGTGGGAAGACTCTCTTGGATCCGAGCGTGGAAAGAGGAGGGAGAATTGCCAGGGGTCAGGCTGGGCCACAGTGAGCTCTGTGTCACTGGAGCAGCGGGAAGGAATTCCAGGGCTTGGGGGTTTTAGTGGGATGGGGAGTGTCCTCCGACTTTCCCTCCTGACGTGTTTGAATGACGTCTGACAGGGGGTGGCAGGATGTGTTTGTGGAGGGCAGGGAGGGAGCTGGGGATGGTGACTCAAGAGATGCCCCAAGAACCTGCCCCTGCTCCGGGTGGTTATCAGAGCAATCAGGGAATGGTTTGGCTTGGACTTAAAAGACCATCTTGTCCAAGCCCCTTGCCATGGGCAGGGACACCTGGAAGGTCTCCAAGGTCTCTCCTTAGAGCCTTCTCATGTCCAGGCCGAACACCCCCAGTGCTCCCAGCCTGTCTCCAGAGCAGGGGCTCTCCAGCCCTTGGAGCACCTCCATGGCCTCCTCTGGACTCACTCCAGCAGCTCCACATCCTTGTGATGCTTCCAGGATGTGCAGGTCTATCCCTGCCTGGCACAGATACTGCTTAGAGGATGTTTAACCCAGCGCTGGCACAGCCCAGAGACAAGATCTATGTGGGACAAGAGACCTCAAAAGCTGTGCCTGGAAACCTCCAAAGCCACCTCCTTCCTTCCTCCCTGCTCCCAGGATCCCTAATCCTCTTATCAGGGGACATCAGGGCTAAGATCTCAGTGCTGTGTCTCCCTGGAACGTGCACAGGCACATGTGCACCCTCTGCATCCGAAATCCCAGGGTTTGGGATGTGGAAAACAAGTGATTTCTGTTCATTCCAGCTGGGTTCCGACCCCAGACCAAAGGGAGTCACTGAACCTCTCCTGTTTTCCCTTTGCAACGTGGCAGCAGAAAGAAGACATCCCAAAAAAAACCCCAAACCCAACAATTCACTGGAGAGAAACACTGCAAAACCTCACAAAACTCGGCCTCAGGAACGACTTGGGCACCCAACACGAATCCCAGAGAAAGAAACAGGTCCTTACCCGGCAAGAGGAACGTTTCAGAAGGAGCAACTCACCCAAAGCACCAGCGGGAGCGAGTGGGATTCCTGTGGAGCCGTGCGGACGAGGGGAGGACCTGGGTGCTTTTATAGGGTCCCTGACGGAGCTCTGGAGAGGAGCCACCCTTTGTGGACATTGTCCTGATTCATCTTTGGCCAAGCCCAGCTGCGCCTTCACGTCCTCAAACGGGTTATTTGACTTATCATCCCCTTCCCTATCATTTTAGCCCCGAAATAGCAGTTGCCATGTGTGGCAATTCAGGCACCGGCCGGTTCCGCCTCGGCCGGGGCTGCAAAGCTGCTTTATGGGCTGCCTGGATTTCAGATTTTATGGAACCTGGAGCGGCCACAAAGCACCTCCTGCACTAATGGAGGGTCTGTTTTAACATAAGTGTGTGTTTGCCCTAAGTGGGAATTTATAACGTGGAACAATTTGTGTCCGTGATAATTAAAAATGCGGGTGAATATTTCGGTGCCAGGGGTGGGAATCTGAGGGTGAGCCGGTGGTAACAGACCCCGAGACGGGCAGATTTGGGCCAATTAAGGTATTTATGACCCGTGAGTTTGGTACCACCAGGGCAGAGGTGATTTTTGGTCGGCACCTTGAGCTGAGTTTGGGTCTGGCTTTGGTCACAGAAGGACAGAGGAATCCTACAATGGTTGGACCTTAAAGACCATCTCATTCCAACCCCTGCCATGGGCAGGAACACCTGCTGGAAGACCTAAGCTCTACAAAAAGGTGACATTTGGTGAGACTCCCAAATCCTCCCAATTTTGGCTCGTGTGACATCCTTGTAGAATGTTTTATTCTTGGTTTCTTCTTCTCAGGGAGCCTTTTTGTCACGTTGTGCAGGTTTTTATCGGGGAGGAGAAACCCCAACCCCAAACAGGACAAGAATTTTTGGAGAAGAAAACGTCAGCTGAGTAAGTGATGACTTTTCATCGAGGAAAACGGTGATAAACCCATTCCTATTGAACTGCCTTCCACGGACAACTTTCCTGGCAACTTTGCTTGTTCTTTAATTAAAAATAAAAGCAGGAACCTCTCTGCTGAGAGGCCGATCCGTGTCCAATCTTCCCCTGGCTGCCCTCGGGCAGCTCTCGCTGTAATTACCTCCCCAACCTTCTTCTTTTTTTTTTTTCCTTTTTTTAATTTAATCTTTTAACAGTAAATTAATTAGAGACCAAACCATTCCTCTCTTCACCCTGAGCTCTCCCAGAGCAGAAAGGCACCAAGAGGTGCCACCTGGGCCCCTGCTTTTGGGGTTTTTTGAGGGTGGTTTTAATGCCTTGACAAGCGTGACGGGGACGTTGCGTGAACTTGTCACGCAGCTCTTGGGTGAGTGGCTCATCTGCCCATCTGTAAACTAAGATCATCCTGGGTGTAGGAGCCTAATTAATTAGTGCTGGTGACACCTCGGGGACACTCATACGGAGGGTTGTCCCTGACCAGCCTTCATTTTTGGGCTTTTTTTTTTTTTTTCTTTCCCCGGATTAAATTACGCTCGTGCAAATTATACCCCACCTGCGGGATAATAACACCCTTGGGAAACTGTAATTTTATGGTGGATTGGGGTTATTATTAAAATGAGGGCATTACAGTGTGGTTTGGGTGTCCTGTAACAGTCTGTAATCCCCCTGCAGGGGCTGGATCCACGTAGGGAAACGCTCCGTCGTGTTGGCTCACCCGCTTTCCTTGGGATTTCCTGCCATTCCCGGGCCGAGGCAACGAGTTTGGAAGCACGTCCTGGCAGCACCTTTTTTCTTGCTTGGTTTTCCCCAGAGATGTTTTTCTGGCTCAAATTGAGCAGAAACCATCCCAGTCCTGGGCTGCATCCAAAGGGACGTGGGAAGCAGGTGAGGGAGGGGATTGTCCCCCTCTGCTCTGCTCTGGTCAGATCCCACCTGGAACAGTGTCCAGTTCTGGTGTCTCCAGCACAGGAAGGATGTGGAGCTGTTGGAGCAAGCCCAGAGGAGGCCACAAAGTTGATAAAGGAGTATCTTTCCTGGGAATGTTCACCCTGAAGGTTGTGTGGAGACCTCAGAGCCCCTTCCAGGGTCTGAGGGGGCTCCAGGGGAGCTGGAGAGGGATGTCCATCAGGAACTGGGGTGACAGGGCAAGGGGGATGAATTCAGACTGAAATAGGGGAAATTTAGGGTGGATATTGGGGAGAAATTCCTCGCTGTGAGGGTGGGGAGGCCACTTTGGAGGTTATTCCATGGATTCCTCATCCTTGGAAGTGTCTGAGGCCAGGCTGGAGCAACCTGGGCTGGTGGGAGGTGTCCCTGCCCGTGGCACAGGAGTAGAACAAGATAATCTTTAAGGTCCCTTCCAACCTGCCCCATTCCATGATTCTGACCCCAATCCGTGCCTGTTCCCATCCCTGTTTCTGTGGGGCAACCAAACTTCTGCTGCATTTTGTTGTAGAGGGTCTGAGCTCCTCGTGGTGTGTCAAAGACCTTTTCCCTCCCAACACCTCCCAGGCTTGCAGGACTCTTTGGCAGGTATTTGTGACAGGGGAGATAATTTCATGTTCTCCTTAAAATGAACCTAAAGCCCTTTTTAACTTCGATTCAGATCCTCCTGATGGCAAAAACAGTGTTATTTGGGATATAATTAAGGTGTCCCAAACAGGGTTTAGGGCTTTCCTGACCTGGGAAAGGTCAGGAAATTAATTAATAATTTATTAATACATTAATTTATTTTTACATATTAATTATCTATTATTTATATTTATTATGTATTGATATTTATTGATGGTGCACTTATTTATTGATATTTATGTATTTCAATTTCGATTATTTATTTATATTACTTTCTACTATTTATTGATATCATTTTGATAATTTATTTATTAATTGATATTTATTGATGCTGCCAAAGGTGACACCCATGGACAAAGGGACTCCTGGTGATTTTAGACCCCAAGCCAGAGCTAACCAGAACCGACACCCATCGGACAAACCTCTAACTGAGACCCATTTTACAAGAAAAAAACTGGGAATTTTCTGGGAAATGAACTACCATGGGGAATGTCTCAGCTGCAGGTGGGTTTTGGCAGGCGATGGTTTAATCCTTGACTCTCCCACTGTGTCCCCACACAACACGAGGTGCCTCAGGACTTATCACTGCTCAGATATTTAATCAGCGAGCGGAGCAAACCGGTGCACTTGGAGCAGGGGGGGAAGCTGATCCATCGAATTTTGACTTCAGCACCCGAAAACCACCTCGTTCTGCTGATGTTTGTGCTGGGGGAGGGTTTTGAAATGTGGGGTTTTTCTGATTCAGGGCCCAGCAACTCGTGAAATTGGGGGGTGTCTGAGGGGGGGATGACGTTGGAGTTCCCAGCTGGAGTTGTGGGTGCTGCTGGTCACCGACCACAGAGCAGGAGCTGTGGGGGATTTACCACGTGCTGATGCCTCTGATAGGTCACAAGTGAAAGATTGCAGTGGGGAAAAACAGGTTTGAGCATCTCTCCTCCGTGTGGGATCCGCAGTCCTGGGGCCCGCCTGGTGGTCCAGCACCCCCTAATAAACCCCACTGACTTCCCCACCCCTCACAGTCACCCACATTCCTATGTGCCTGCCTGGAAAAGTGCCCCAAACTGAGGGTGAGATCAGCTCCAGTTCCTGTGCCAGCTTCTCATCTCTTGCCCTCCCACTTGGACGTGCCCTTTTTCCTCTCTTCAACCCATTTCCACTCCTCCTTCCTCAGACTTCCACAACTAACAGGGATTTCTGATCTTCCTCCCCTACTCCTCTCTCTGGAGCTCATTTAACAAGTGAGGTTTCATGGGACAAATCCCTTCCCAGCTCTTTATTCTTTTCAAGGCCGTGGAAAAGCCCCTGGAGAGGGTGGGGGGCTCTGAGGAACCTGCTGTGGTGCCAACCCCCCCACTTCTCCCTCCCTCCCCCAAGACACTTCTTGCATAAAAACACACCAGGCCACAGGGATTTTGTCTTTGGTTTTATTGCTTTGCTCACACAGGGCAAGAGGGGAGGCACAAGGGGCCCTGAAGCCCAAGTTTGAGAAGGAATTAGCCAAGAAATGACAAATAGAAGTGGGAAAAAACCCCAAAAAACCCCCAAAAAACCAGAGTGGGACTGGACAAACTGGACCTCCTGGCAGGGGGGAGCAGCCTGGGCTCATCCCAGCCCTCACTGCTCTGGTGGCCACTGGTACAGAGGCTGCAGGAGCTGCTGCTCCACCACGAGTTGCCCTTGTAGCTGCTGTGCCTCGCTGTGCTCCATCTCCAGCCCCTTGGATTCAGGGATTTGATGGCCATCTGGGCCACAGAGTGTTCCCAGGGCCTTGGCATCCTGCTGGGGGCTGTGGGGCAGAAGCTGCTGGATCTGCCCAGGGTTGGGGTCTTTCCAAGGGGCCTCACAGACTTGGGTCTTTTGGGGGTCTTTTCCTCGTGTCTCAGGGGGAGGATTTGGGTCCTGCTTTGCTGGCTCAGGCTCTGGGCCCTCATGGTGGTTTGAACCCTCTCCTGGCCCCTCAGCTTCTGGGGCCTGGTGGGTTTTTGGCTCCTCTTTGGTTGCCTCTTCAGCCTCTGCAGCCTCACAGGTATTTCTGTCCTGCTCTGGGGTTGCAGCATCCAGGATCTCCCCTCCCTCTGGATCCCCTTCTGGTGCTTCAGTGCCATCACCCTGAGGGGTGTCCTGGTCCTGCTCTGCTGTTTCACCCTCCTGGATCTGTTGGCTTTCCTGCTCTGGTGTCTCACCCTCTTGGATTTGATGGGTGTCCTGCTCCTGGCTCTCCGTGTCCTGGTCCTGGTTGTCCACACCACGCTCGGGGACCTGCTGGCTGTGGGATTCCCTCCCCTCTGTGTGTGGCCACAGCAGCTGCTCCCCCTCTCCTGCCAGCCCTTGACCATCTCCCATCTCCTCTGCTGCTGCTGCTGCTGGAGAGGTTTGTAACAAGCCTTGGCCACGTGGAAAACCAGGCTGAGCAACTCCCTGAGGCCGACCCCGCAGTTGTTCTCATCGCCCAGGAAGCACAGAACCTTCCGGATGCTTTCTGGGTCCTGGGGGTTCTGTAAGGAGACAAAATGGGCTTTGTGCCTTCCCCAGGGAGGCTTTTCCCACCCCAGCAGCTGTGGGGTCCAGTCCTCACCTCCATGGCATCCCCAAACTCCTGCTCCATGAGCTGCCTCAGCTCCTCCCTGCTCAGGGGGCTGCAGTTTTGGGCGCAGGTGTAAAAAGCAGCGACGATGCCACTGATGTTTTCCTGGAGCTGGGACATCTCCCTGCAAACCTGAGGCAGCCTGTGAGAAAAAGAAACATTAAAGGGGGTTTTTTTCCCCCCCACACTCCTGGGTTTTTTTCAAATATGTTACTCTTAAACAACCCCAGGTGGGAAGGGAGGGGGAGAAGGAAGAGCCAGGAAAGGGTGCAGGGAAATTGAAACAGGGTAAGAGAAAGAGCAAGAAAAAAACCTGACAGATTAAACTTTGCTGCAGAGGGGAGTGACAGCGAGAGGCAAAAGGTTGGGGAGACACAATGAGAGAGGAGAGACAAAAATCCCATTTGTTTTCCTCAAGAGAGGAGAGGGAAAAAAAAACCAGCTCCCATTTCTTCTCCTCTGGAGCAGAGCAGGGCTGTGAGTGGAGGCCACCTCCACCAAACCATGGAATGGCATCATCCCATCTCTCTCTCATATTCTTCTGTCCTCTAGGAGAGCTCAGCAGTGGCAGCTCCAGGAGCATCCCATGGCCAGCAGCTCCTGCTCTCCTGCTGGTGGCCAAGCCTGAAGGTGTGAAGGTCCATCCAGGCTTACCTGGGTGAGGAACAGGAGCTCTGAGCTTCAGGAGCACAGTCTGGGGCAGAGCAGCTCTTGGCCATCTTATATACAGTTCAGGATCACAGCCTGGGACTTGCAGAGGAGACACCTGAGACATCTCTCCCCCAATTACAGAGTCAGCCCCTTTGTCTTTGTTTGTCTCCTTCTCATTAACTTCTTCTCTGATGATTTTTTTTTTTTTCCTCTGGGCTTAATTCCTGGCCCTGCCCCACCTGCAGACACATTTCAGAGGAATTCAGCAGAAAAGGTTATTTTTACCACCCAAGGGATTTAAGTTGAAGGTGATGATGCCCCAGCAACGCCCGGCGCTGTCGTGGCTGCAGAACGTGTTTCGTGAGTGGGAGCTCCCCAGGGAGGGACAGGAGGGAGGAGAAGGCCCAGGAGGGTTCAGTGTTGTGGAGAAAGAGAAAAGAAACCCAAAGAAGAAGAATGAGGATATTGTGGTGGATCATTGCCCGTTGTCCAAGAGAGACACGGAGGGGCTGGAGCGTGGCCAGAGAAGGGAATGGGGCTGGAGCAGCAGGAGAAGGGGCTGGAGAACTCCTGAGGGAGCTGGGGGGGCTCAGCCTGGAGAAAAGGAGGCTCGGGGGGGACCTTCTGGCTCTGGAATTCCCTGGAAGGAGGTTGGAGCCAGGGGCTATTGGGCTCTGCTCCCAGGGAATGAGGGACAGGAGGAGAGGGAACGGCCTCCAGCTGTGCCAGGGGAGGGTCAGGCTGAACATCAGGAGGAATTTCCTCATGGAAAGGGTGGTGAGGCCTTGGCAGGGGCTGCCCAGGGAGGTTTGGAGTCCCCACCCCTGGAGGTGCCCAAGGATGTGGCACTGAGTGCTCTGGGCTTGGGGGAAAAGGATGTTGATGGATCAAAGGTTGGACTTGATGACCTTGGAGGTGGCACTGAGTGACAAGGTGGGGATGGGGCACAGGGGTGCGCTGGATGCTCTTGGAGGTCTTTTCCATCCTCAGCGATCCCGGGATGCTTCTGGATCCCGATCGGCAGTGAAATCTTTTCCCACAGTGCCACCAAGTGGCACCCGCAGCAGGACAGGGGGACGCGTGGGACTCGGGTGGGACTCGGGTGGGGGGCTCGGGGGTTTCTGCCACCAGCCCCTCATCAGCGGGGCAAACCGAGGCACAGGGACTGGAACTTCCAACCCCGATAATTCTGGGATCCTCCAACCCCGATAATTCTGGGATCCTCCAACCCCGATAATTCTGGGATCCTCCAACCCCGATAATTCCGGGATCCTCCAACCCCGATAATTCTGGGATCCTGGGCTGTTCGAGCTCCGAGGCTCTCTGAGGGTTGGGTAGGAACGGTCAAGTTTCCCGATGAAAAAAAAAATAAAGCAGGAAATTGCCGTTTATCCCGGGATGATTCCGATTGTTCCCTGCTTGGCAGGGAAGGGCAGAGGGGGAGGTGAGGGCTGGGGAAGGGGGGAAAATGCTGCGCTGAAGGTTTGAGGTGGAAATCTGGGTTTGGAGACCTGGGAATCTTCGGGGCTTCGATGGATGGGGCTTGTTTTGGGAGGGCAGCAGGAAAAGCAGCTGGGATCTGGAGTTTTATCCATGTTGTTGCCTTCCTGACATTCCTTTGCCTCTGTTTTTTCCTTCTCCCTTTTGCCCAGAGCTGAGGGAAAATTCCCCCCCCCTTAATTTCAGGCTTTTCTTCCATACCCAGAGCAGGATTCCCAAACTTTCCCAGGGCTGGAGCCCATTTTGCAGGGGGTTTTATCCTCACATCTGTGTCATTATCAGGAATTAAGCTAATTGGAGTAAAATCCTTTATTTTCCCCCGTGCTGCTGAGGCATTTCAAGTTCTCTCCGCTGCAACTTCCTTTGTCCCTAATTCTTTGTGACATTAAGAAGTGTAAAACATCAGCTTTCCCCTAATACAGGTTTCCCCTTTTTTTTTTTACATGTTAATGAGCATATTTAGCATATTTCTTCGGAGATAATTGGATTCTGAGGCTCCCTGTGGCAAAGCAGCAGCGATGCCTTTAATATCTAAAAGACCCTGTATTTGAATAATCCCACAATTCAAATTAGGCATTAATATCTCGCCTCGAAACAAGACTTTGGAGGATCCTTTTTGTTGTTCTGAGACAGTTTGAATACATGTGTTAATGATACTTGTGGGGGAGGTTAATTAAACCCTCTCTTTTCATTTTGTACCCCCTCAACTCACAGAGGGCCACAAGCATCTTGGATTATCTCGTCCCCCTTCCTGATCCTCCTTGTGAGGGCAGGATTTTCCTGAGCTCCATTTGCTGGTGATGGATCCACGTGGGTGTTTTAATCCAAAAAATCTGGAGTTTATCGGGGAGGAAATTAATTTTTCTGAAGGTGTAAAAGGGACTGGGAAGTTTATTGAAACAGCTGTAGGTCTGGGAAAGGAAAGGAAATTCGGGGAAAAGAAGTTCAGGAAGAATTTCCTCCTGGAAAGGGTGGTCTGGTATGGAAGGGGCTGCCCAGGGAGGTGGTGAGTCCCCATCCCTGGAGGTGTTCTGGGCTGGGTGATGAGGTGGGGAAGGGTCAAAGTTCGGATTGATGATCTTGGAGGTCTTTCCCAACCTCAGTGATTCTGGAATTCCGTGACACGACGGACGGACAGGACCAAATTTAACCCCACAGCTCCTGCCTGGAAAGCTCTGAGTCCTGCAGTTCCTCTGCCAGGAAAACCTGCATGTCCTGGAGCCTCTCAACTTCTCCAAGCTCCAGCAGGAGAATTCCTCCCACCATCCCAGCCCCGTGCACCAGAGGACGCTGCCTGTGCGTGTCGGAGCTGGGTGGGGGCACCCACAGACACCCTCAGGGTGGGGTTTTGGGACCCCAGAGCTGCTGCCCACACCCAGCCCTGCTCCCTGAGCCAGTTTAACTCGGGAAAAGCAGAGCCCTGCCTGGGAAGCAGCTCTTTGGGGCAGCTCTGGGGGGGCTGGTGGATGTCACAGATCCCTCCTCTGATTTTCCTCTCTGATCCCTCATCCTGGATTTAGAGCCACATGTGGGGACCCTAAATGTCAGGGCTGGTGGGGGGGGGACAGGACAGGTGGGCTCTGCTAAGCTGCTCCTCTTCCAAAGCTTTGTTTGGTGGACACCCTGAGTCACCTCTTGAGGTGGAAGTGACTCAAGGGCCGGGCTCGTTTGGGCCGCTCCACGTGGTGGTGATGGTGGTGCTGGGGACAATCCAGAGCCTCTGCCCGTTAACTTCCTCACTGCCCAGCACATCCAGGGCCTTTCCAGTGCTTTTTTGCTTTTTTTTTTCGAGAAAAAGCTCCAATTTTGGGCAGTGGTTTGAAGTCTCAGGTTTTGAAGTCTCAGGTTTGGTGTCTCCCGCTGTCGGGATGGGAAGGTCCTTTAGACCCCTCCTAAAAAGAGCAGCTCAGGCCACCAAGGGGTGACTGTGGAGCATCCAGGGCAAGTGGGGAGGGAGCAGCTGGTGCTGGGGAGTGGCTGTGCTGCAAGCCCTGCCTGGAGCAGAGGGTGGGAGGGGGCACAGAGGGCGAGTTGGGAAACGTGAGCCGGCGGAAACCCCGCCGAGGGCAGGTTGGCACCGTGTGGATGTGGCGGTGTTGGGGTGGCAGAGGAGAACCTGAGAGGGTGCTCTGGGGCGAGACAGAGCTTGCCTGGCAGGGATGTGTTGTCTGGGTGAGCAGGGAAGGTCTGGGAGCTGCCCCCACAGGGCTGGTGGGGTGGCAGGGTGGGGGAAACCCAGCAGTGACCACCTCGTGCCCCTCCTGAAGGTCCAGGAATGCAAATCCTGTTTGCTCTGCCCATTCCTCTCCTCCTTGTCCAGAGAGGTGAGCAGCCAGGGGAAATCCCAGCTTTCAGTTTTTCACTGGGCTCACCTTCCTTCAGCCTGCATTTCCCAAGGAAGGTAAAAGCTCCTGCTTTTTAGTATCCCGACCTTTATTTGCAAGGGGGTTAAAAAAAAGGTGCAAAATCTCTTCTAGTTTAATGTAAATTGGTAGAGACTCGGTTAAAGCTGCTGTGGAGGGGAAGGACTGAGAAATTGTCCCCTTTGCTGGGCTGTTGGACACGGGAAACCCAGGTGGAATCCAGGCCCTACCAGTTCTGCCTGTGGTCTTGCCTTGTTTACCAGCAGCATTTCGGGTTGTTTACACTGGGTGGTTTGCACAGGGTGGGTTGTGCTGGGCTCTGAGAGGCTCCCAGACATTCCCAGAGCTCTGCTGGGCTCTGAGAGGCTCCCAAACATTCCCAGAGCTCTGCTGGGCTCTGAAAGGATCCCAGAAATTCCCAGGAGCTCCTGGCCCAGGTGTACATTTGTAGCTGGGGTTTGGAGCTGGGATTGGGGTCAAAGACAACCCACAAAACTCAGCTGGGCTGTGCTGAGAGGGGCTGATCACTGTGCCTTCAGTAAATAGTGGGGGATTCTTGTTTTAAGTGGAGTTCTTGGTCTTGGAAGGGCCTGGAGGACCCTCTGGAGCTGCTGACTCAAGCCC